TGGCCTTCAGGGCAGGTCTGAGCGCGTCCGCCCTCCTTGGGTCTGCGCGTCGGTCGGGAAGGCTCCTGCTGAGCTGCCTGGGCTGCTGCCTCTATTGGTCAGGCCTTTTAACACTGGGGACTCCAGCCCAGGCAGCTCGCTGTTCCTCCCCAGCCAGGCGGCCGAGGTCAAGAGCTCTGAGGGCACTGTGTCTGTCTGGTTGTTCAGATTGTGTACTGAGCAAAACATGTGCCTCTGCTTGCCAAGGGCCCGTGCTGCTGGAGGAAGTGGTGCCTTTCACAGGCTCATTCAGAGGCCACCTCAGCTGTTCTGGCCAGGGCCCGGCAGGGGCATCTCCTGGAAGGGGGCTGGCTTTGTGACTGTCCAGAGGCTCTGTAGGACCCAGCACACAGTGGTGCCTCAGCAGCAATGTGGCAGGTCTTAGGAGAGGCCCTGAGGCCTCCTGTGGCAGAGGGGCCCTGTGCTGCCCCTGGGGGCCCTCATCTCTCAGGAGTCTGAACATCCAGGGCCGTGTGGGGAGCCGTTCTCAATGGGAGGGCGGGATGGTGTCTGCTCTCGAGCCTGAGGAGGGTTCCACTGCCTGCCAAGACCTTTGGTTCCTCCCTTTGACCCCAAAGAGTCCAAACGCCTGCATCCCGAGTCTTTTCCTAGGAATTTCCTGCAATTCCTTCCGAGCCAGCTTAAGAAGAGAGGAGCGCACAGGACCAGAGCCCAGAGTCCACTTCTGTTTCCTTGCTGTGTGTCTCCTATGGGGTCACTTACCCTCTCTGATCCACTGTAGCTGCAACCTCTCCCCATGACCACCCAGCCTGAACATGCTGACTTCCCTGTGTGTGGTCTCTCCTGGGCTGCAGGGCCAGGGCTGCCAGACACCGCTTCCACTGGTGGCTGGGGCTCAGGCTGCATTCTGAGGAGCCCCGCAGCTGGTCTTCCTGCAGCACACAGGAGAGAGAAGGCAGGCACAGCTCTTGATGCCAGCCTCTGAGCCGGACCATCAGTTTCCAAAATAAGTCCCAGGAGCAGGTGGGGCCTCAGGGAGAGGATGGACACGTGACCCTGTGCTGTGCAGGACGCTGTGGCCCTGGAACCTCCTACACCGTGGCCTGGGGCCTGCGTGGGGCCCTTGTGGGGTCCGTAGCTCTCTTTGGCAGCCTCCACAGGGTGCAGGATTCCCAGGCAGAACCAAAATGCAGGCAGAGCATCCTGCCTGCAGCAAGGGTGGGGCGGCCCAAGGCCTGGCCACAGGAGGACCCCAGAGAGTCACCCTGAACTTCCTTTTTAATCAGGCTGAAGATCTTCCCGGGCTGTATTGGCGCTTCCAGAATCAGCCAGCACCACGGGTCCCACTGAGCCACCGAGGAGGCTGGCTTCCCAGACAGGGGCCTGGGAGGAGCAGAGAGCAAGGGCAAGCGACTGGCGGCTGCCGTTCCTTTCCTCATAGGATGCAAACAGGATAAGAGAAAAATAACCCTTTGGCCAACGTCAGGCGCTTTGGGTTTCCTAGGCTTTAGAGCACACGGAGCGGAGACTGGCCTCCGGGAAACCGCCTCCAACTCCCTGGTGTCCCCTAGAGAGGCGCATAACTGTGGGTCTTGGTGTGGTGACGTGCAGATTTAGCACAGCCACTCCATTTTGGTTTTTAGGGTGGTCCACTGGTCCGAGCCGGACCGTGGCCCAGAACAACAGCCTAGCTGCCCGGACATCTTTCCTGCATCCCCACAGGTAGGAACAGAGGCCTCTAGAAAGGAGGACCTTCTGATTGGCCATCTCTGGTCTTGTAGGAAGTTTGAAATCTTCCTCCGAGTTTCCTTAAGGAAGGGAAGTGGAGTGGGAGGGGATGAAGAATCTCCATCCTGCTTTCCAGAGTGGTTGCACCAATCTGCAGTCCCACCAGCGATGGACGAGTGCGCCTTTCCCCCCACAGCCTCGCCAACATTTATTTTTACTGGTTTTCTTGATGACTGCCATTCTGACTGGAGTGAGGTGAACTCTCGGTGTAGTTTTAATTTGCATTTCTCTAATGGATGGTGATGTTGAACATTTTTCCATGTATTTGTTGACCGATCATATCTCTTCTTCTGTGAAGTGTCTGCTCAGCTCCTTTGCTCATTTACTGACGGGGTTATTTGGTTTTTGTTGGTGCTGAGTTTTTTGAGTTGTTTGTACATCCTGGAGATTGGTGCTCTATCTATTGAGGTGCAGGTGGCAAAGATTCTCTCCCATCCTGTAGACTCTCTCTTCACGTTCTTGATTGTTTCCTTTGCTGTGAAGAAGCTTCTTAGTTTGAATTCATCCTGTTTGATTCTTTATTTTACTTCTTGCACTTCGGAATCGTGTTGAGGAATTCGGTTCCTAAGCTGACATGATGGAGAATTGGGCCTTCATTTTCTTCTAGAAGGTGTGTGCCTCTGGTCTAATGTATAGATCCTTGATCCACTTAGAGTTGGGTTTGGGGCAGGGTGAGAGATAGGGGTCTAATTTTATTTTATTACACAAGGATTTTCCAGTTTTCCCAGCACCAGTTGTTGAAGAGGCTGTCTTTCCTCCATGTATGTTTA